TACAAGAGACATGATAAAACATTTTTAAAATTTGAAGAACGAGATGACATCCAATTCCCAGTATATATTCTACAAACAGTGATACTCAGACCCCATGAAGAAAAATTTATTCAAGTGAAAGTGGCTATTCCATCAACAGAAACAGTTATCTTCTCACCTAGTTCGGCAATTATAATAAACAAACAAATGCTATTACCAAATGCCCTGTTGAAAGTCAGCAATAAAACTTCAACCATTTCTGCTATCAATTTGTCTGATTATAATCGTGTACTTCAAGAAGGATGTCAGATTGGTGTGGTATCATATCCGACTCCAGTATCAATGTGTGTACCTCTGGTACCTAAACAATTACGGCAACAGCAACATCATAATGAGAAGCACATGATTCATGAATGTAGAGTGTGTCTTGTTGAATTCGATGCAAAAGCTCAAGTGTTCAATCATCTACATAAAGGACGGCATTATAAATCACCTAATAATGTTGAAATAAAATCAAAACCAATTCCGTCTTCATTATTTGAACAAGTTGAGAAACTAGCTGATCACATCGTAAACAAAGAGAAGAAACAAAAAATAATTGATGTGTTAAGAAAACATATAAAAATATTCGATACAAGTGAAGCCACAACCATTAAAACAGTGGTCACTCACACAATTGATATTGAACTGGGGCAAAGGCCAAGACAACAGAAATGGCGTCGATATTCACCTGAACAAAACAAATTGATCAAGGAAACAGTGGAAACTCAATTGGAAAATAAGCAGATTAGACCATCGCAATCGCCGTGGTCATCTCCAGTGGTTTTGACTAAGAAAAAGGATGGTAGTCCTCGTTTTTGTATTGACTATCGTCAACTCAATGAAGTGACAAGGAAGGATTGCTATCCTTTGCCCAATATACAGGAGACGTTTGATCAATTGGCTCACTCACGATTTTATACCAAGCTTGACCTTAAATCAGGATACTACCAAATACCCATAGACGAAAAAGATAAACCGAAGACAGCGTTCAACACTCAACAAGGATCATGGGAATACAACGTTCTGCCTCAAGGGATAAAGAACGGGCCTCCAACGTTCCAAAGAATCATTAACAATACATTGGG